GGAATGCACAGGAATGGAGTTCCAGCTGGCTTCAGAGTTGGCCACGCCCACTACAGCCAAAACCTCTGCATGCGTGGCTACAGAGGGAAGGCCAGGAGAGTGACCCCAAGGTGGGCGGGCCAGGGGGCCCCCTGGAAGGATCGGGGAGGCATTTAAACTGCCTTTCCTTCCCTCCAAGGGGGGGGCTTGCCTGGGTTTCCCGCTTCTGCGGGGGACACGGGCAAGCCAAGGGAAGGTATGGGGTGTGGCCTAATATGCTAATAAGCTGTGTTGTCATGGGTGTGGCACAATATGCTAATGAGCTTCTGTTGTTGGGTGTGGCCTATTATGCAAATGAGTTCCTGCTGGGCTTTTTCTACAAAAAAAGGTCCTGTCTAGATCAAATACCATTCAGTGACATCAGCAGTGTTAAGGCCCAGATTTTTTGATCTGATTTTAAGCGATTGAGATTATCTGCCTGTGCTTTGCCAAAGGAGCACATTTCTATTATGGTGAAGCTGTTGGCTCAGTCTGGCCAGCTGAGGCAGAAACGGGAAAGACTACTGTATATGTTGTCCCGAGAACTTTAAAAGTCCCTTCCTATCTGTTTTGATACTTAACTGTATCGTGACAAGTAAGTCACACGTCTATGAAAACGTGATGCATGAATTAGAATCTATTCATCTGTCTCTGAGACGATGCATGAATTCCAGATCGGTGCAATTGGAATTCAGTCACAAGTGTCAGTTATTTCCAAGCATGCTCTAGTTCTTGCATGATATTTTCAAATACTTTCATGCAGGTGAAATAATTTTAGTGAAGGTCGCGAACATGGCACTGTGTTGTGTTGAAGCTACATGGTACAGATCTGGGTCCAAGTATGCCTGGTTCAAATTCCCTGTTCATTCACCACACTCACTAGGTAACCTTGGGCCAAATGTGTGTCACTCAGCTTAAATGTTCTCCACGGCATGGCTGTGAGAGCAAAACAGAAAACAAAAGCCACGCACGTACTCCTAGCTACTCCTTGGAGAGAGAGTGGGCTTAAAAATAAAAGTGTTTAAGAACCGGGTTCAGCTGTGATGGAATTTCTAATGCTAATGTCCCTTTGTGCTTTGAAATGGAGGGTGAAAAAGTTCCGTTTTTATGCTGACCTTGACATGTCTCAGGAACTGAGTTTTAATGCCAGTGTGTCACTGGGCTCTCAGACAAGGACCGTGTTCTTCTACTGTCCTGATGATTTAATTAATAACTGGTGTCTTTTTAAGTTCCTTATTGACAATTTTCCCTCCCTAACAAATTATGTTTTTAGGTAATTTGTTTCAGCGATGGAAACTCCCCTTAGAAGCGCAGCTGAGCAGACACATGGCTGGCTCTGGTGTTCCTGGGGGCAAAAGCGAAAATGCGGTCTTGGCCTTCCTTGTGGGCTTAACAACCTTAGGAGGAGGGGTCTACGTAAGTAGAAAGGTTTGATGGGAGTGAAAGGGCAGTGTGTCTGCCTGCGTGGCAGCTCATCGTTAGTTTATGCTTCTGTCGTTTCTCATCTCTGCTTTTTCTCCCTCCTTCTCTGCAGAATCTCACAGGAATTTTAATGCCCTAAGGGAGTGAACTTGGGACTGGCTCCAAGTTAACATCTTCCCCTCTGGTTGTTTATCCTTGCCGCCTCATTAGAGGGGTACTTGGTGTAGGTACAGAAATTACCTAGTGCTTGGCCTGTTGCTTTGAGTCTGTGTACAAATCAGCTCAGAGTTGTAGCTAATGGAGGTGATTTTCCTTCTATAGTGAGACACTAGCATGGATCGGCACACAGGCTATCGGCTGTCAATGGATGCCAGAACAGATGTATTTAGTCTGAGTGGTCAGTTGTGGTCCCAGTTTGGTGTAGTGGTTAAGTGTGCAGACTCTTATCTGGGAGAACCGGGTTTGATTCCCCACTCCTCCACTTGCACCTGCTGATGTGACCTTGGGTCAGTCACAAGCTCTGGCACAGCTGTTCCCGAAAGAGCAGTTTGTGTCAAAGTTCTCTCAGCCCCACCTACCTCACAGGGTGTCTGTTGTGGGGAGGGGAAGGGAAAGGAGTTTGTAAGCCGCTCTGAGACTCCCTTGGGTAGTGAAGGGCGGGGTATAAATCCAATCTCTTCTTCTTCTTCTTCTTCTTCTTCTTTGTGATCCAGACCTACTTAGCACCAGCTGAGCCAAATCACTGTCTGTCTTCTCCTAAGTTGCTGATCCATGTCTGGTTTTTCTGGGAGACCTGTCAGATGCAGATTCTTTAGGTGCAGGAGTTCCCTTTCCGTCTTAGAGTAGCCTAAAAAAGAGAGCCAGTCTATTTAAATTCTGCTTTAAAATTCATTCCAAACTAGCCGGGCCCATGAGTGGAAGGATAAACCTCTTTGAGTTGAACCTGCCTGGATCTGCAGGAAGCTTTGGTTGAGGTCATCCCACTGAATCCTCAGCTCATCCATCACAGTTCTAAGCTCATCTTGGCTGAAGCTGCTGTATTTCAGAGAGCTCACTGTGTGCAGAAGTAGACTTTTTAAAAAATAGAAAAGCACCCGTTGGTCAGTGCCTCTTTCTGTTGTTGCTCTGTTTCTGCACTGGTGCCACCCACCGGAAAGAAAGAAACATGTTTCTGTTCCACATTGTGAAAAGGGAATCTTCAAGACCACTTCCAGCTTCATAAAATCCACAACACAATTAAAGACAAACTAAAATCATGACATTTATGTAATAATCCAAACCCCGGGGGGGGGGGGACCTCTGAAGGACTGAAGTTGCTGTCCTAAGAAGCCTTCCCTGGGAATAAGCCCCAATGACTAAAATGGAGATTACTTTCTGAGTAGATCTGTTTAAGGTTGCTCACAGAGGAACCTTGCGTGAGTTGCTTCTGTGTGGGATGACTGCCTGGGAATGTGTCACTGGGAGTCAGGAAGGTACGAATCAGACCAACGGTCCCTCAGCCCCAGTCTGGTACTTAACTACCTTGACTGGCAGCAGTTGCCTTAGGTTAGAATTCTGGCCTACCTCAGATCCTTCAAGGGGGAAAGCTTTAGCTTGAATTCGGAGCTTTATGCATGCAAAGAAGCATGGTGTGCAATAAAACCAGATTTTAAAAGGGGGAATAGTGAAGGAAGGCTAAGTGGCCAGTTTGGTGTAGTGGTTAAGTGTGCGGACTCTAATCTGGGAGACTCCTCCACTTGCACCTGCTGATGTGACCTTCGGTCAGTCACAAGCTCTGGCACCACTGTTCTTGAAAAAGAGCAGTTTCTGTCAGAGCTCTCTCAGCCCCCCACCTACCTCACAGGGTGTCTGTTGTGGGGAGGGGAAGGGAAAGGAGTTTGCAAGCCGCTCTGAGACTCCAAGTGAAGGGCGGGGTATAAATCCAATCTCCTCCTCTTCTTATAAATGCTGCACCGGCACAGTAGGGGGGAAAAGACTCCGGGGCATGTTTTTATTGAGATCTCAAGGGGATGAGTTTCATACTGCAGGGCTCATCCTTACAAAGACGCAAACACCTGCCAGCATGGCATAGCGGATAGAGTGTTGGACTAGGATCCTGGCTGACCTGGGTTCAAATCCCTACTTCTGTCATGGAAGCTTGCTGGGTGACCTTGGGCCCGTCACATGCACTCGGCCTGACCTACCTCACAAGGTGGTGGTTGTGAGGGAATAGAGGAGGGGAACATGGCGTTCTAAGTTGCTTTGAGTTCCACCTGGGGAGAAAAGCAGGATTTCAATAAATAAATGCAAATTAAGATGGTGTTGTGTGATTCCTAAATGGGGGATAACCAGCCACGAACTGCACCCAGGAGGGGATTGCAGAAAAAGGTCTCCGTTGTCTTGAAGGACAGAGAAGGATGCTTGGAATCATTGGTACCTTTTGTACAACACTAGCTGTTTCCCTCATCGTACTAAGAAAGTAATGTTATTAGAATCCCAAGCAAAATAGACAAAGGGAAATGGTGGGGGGGAGCTGCTAGATCTGGGGTCAGGCATTTGCCTACCTAACGTCCACATTTGGTGAAGATTTTGATGAAATACAGAAAATCCATCTCAAGAGCCGGTGTTCTGTGCTCACCTAACCTTGCCTATTCCCTGGCTACACAGGGGCAGACGGTCTCGGCTTCTGAACAAGGCCTCTTTTCTCAATGGAGAACGCCAAATCTGGAACGATTAAGGAATAAAAGAGGCCTTCATTAGTTTAAACGGACAAAGCCTAATCACGTGGCTGAGTCTGGTCGAAGGGCTAGAGCATCGCACAGGGTTAGGAAGACCCGGGTCCAAATGTCCACTCAGCCATGAAGCTTGCCGATCTGGAGCCGGCTGCTCGTTTTGGAGCCTAACCGACCTCACAGTTGTCGCAAGGATAAAGCAGAGGAGGACGATGTATGTTGCCCTGGGCTCCTTGGAGGAAGGGCAGGATAGAGAAATGTGACCAGTGTTGGCATCTTCTGTTTTACAGCCATGCCAGTTTTGGCAAAGAAGGTAGCGGGCAAAATAAGAAGCCTTGCTCACCCCAAGGCCTGTGTAGTCCGGTTTGCTCATTTGAATACCTGGCAATCTTTTCCCCTCCCTTTTCTGTTTCTTCTTCTTTTCTCCCCTCGCCTATCTCCATCTTCAGTTTTGCAGTGTCCACATCTCAGACCCCCTCCTAGATCGCTAATGTCTCCAGGGGCTGCCATCAAGGACAGCAGCCACCTTGTGTACTACTTTAATGGTGGGAGGAGCAGTCACG